TTTGATTTCCCTCGGTGAGCAGTACAGCCGGTCCTTTCACAAAGTTTTCTCTTCCAAACGGCGCGAACAAGGCTAGTAGTTCAACGATCGATACTTCCACTACTGCTTGGAAGAATTCCTTTATCAAATATCGGGAAAGTGTTGGGTAAATTTTCGCCAAGAAGAACGCGGTCCATCCGGCTCCTAGCCCTTCCAGCATGCTATCAGTCCGGTCAAAGCCTTCTTCACCCTTCACTTTCTGGGTCCAGAAAGCTTCCAGGGTAACCTGGCATACTCTGTTCACAAACTCGGCTGATTTCTCTTCAGCATTTTCGGCCAGGTTCACCTCCTTCACTGAATAGGCATGGATCTTCTTGATCATCACGGGGCCTTGCTCGAAAGCATCCATTCCCAATGCTGCTATTCGAGGGGTTAAGTGCAGCCACTGGTTAGCCTCTGATTTGGTCCTCAAAACCATCGCTTCCAAGTGAGCTCTGGTCTCTTTGGAGTTGTTTCTCCTCTCTTCTTGCTCTCCTACTTCCATTCCTCGGAACCATAAATCGTTTGAAATCGCTACGATTACTCGATGGTCATCGTCAATTCCTGGCTTCAATTTAAGTTGTCTACTGAAGTTGGACAGTTCACTTCATCCAATACTAGCATGTGTAGTGAATGGTCCTTGAATCCTCTCATCGCATTCGAGATGTCTGATCACACCGCAGGTAATTCAGCTCTGAGTGGCCTCAGATTCTCCATCTCTATCTCGCTATTTGGGGCAGATATGATCACATCATATTTCCCTTCCGAGAGCAAAGCCACAATCGCATACACGAACTTCAGTCCATCCGGGAGATGTGCATATCCCGGAGACAGTGCAAACACGGCTCTCGGTGTTATTTTAGTGAAGGCACCCTCTTTCAGGGTATTCTCTACTTCACCCATTGACTCGAGGATATCTTTTATAGCTGGCCATACAGCGGCTTCGGCTGTCGTAGGCTCTCTGAGTCTGCTCAGGAAACCTCTGCAGTGTAGATGGTCATTGATGCCAGCGAACACAATTATTATTGGGTTCATATCTGTCTGCCTTTGCACTCCGTCGTGGCATCCTCATGGCATCTGCTGCAAAGCTAACCGTCTGAAGGTTCAGTTTCATCAAATCATCCTTCTATATGTGCCACGGAGAAGGTATGGGCCTCGACCACATCAGAGAGCTCCTGTTTGGGCGTCGCTCCTCTCGACTGGTGCTCGTCATCTCTGATCTCGTATCCGATCTAGAGGTGCTGGTCGTTTCCGCTGTCGGGTTGACAGGCCCTAGTTTTCGTCTAGGATTGATGGTTCTTCTCAAAGGCGCTTCCCCCAATCGATCTTGTACGTCCGTTCTTTGCCCTGGCTCGCTAGAGCTTTGCGGCCTATAGGTTGTCACGGCTAGAACCGTTCCCAAACGTGTTTCTAAATTAGAAGGCACAAAGGTCGAAATTGCCGGTTTATTCGATGTTTCTTCCTTCTTTAGCACTCCCGTGTCAAAGAGTTCTTCTTCCATTTAATCTAGTCGCTCTTGCAAGGCTCTGTTCAACCAGGCTTTTCCCTCGATGCTGTCAAAGTGGACGCCGTCAGTAAACAGTCTGGCCTGATCCATAGCTCTCAGCTCATGCTCAATATCCATGAGGTTCATCCGTCCAGCATTCCGACTCGCAAGATTCCCCAGGATGTTGTTCCATCTGATTGCTCCTTCATTATGTCTCCTCCCTGCTGCTGTCATCATCTTCGTGCTCATTGGTACAGTGCAGACGGTCAGGTCCGCGCAGTTGAATCGCTGCCAGAGAGTAGTAAATAGGCACACCATCATCGACTCCCATAGCGCCTCTTCCTCATCTGAGCTTCTCGATATGTTGTTCGTCCCTACTAGGATCATTACGTTAGGGGTTCTCCCTGGGTTCATCAGCTCCACCATCCAAAATAACTGGGCTATCGTTGCGCCTCCAAACGCTATCACCGTGGTGATCCAGGAATTCCTCAAATTTTGGAGCACTCTGACCAAGCTGTCCCCCAGTATCAGATGTGTTGTCCCAAGTGGCGGTTGTTGCATATTTTTTGCTGGGCTCCAAGTCTATCGATTGAAGCAGGCTCTCGGATCCGTATCCGGAGCTCCTGTGAAGCTATACTTCAACTGGTTGTTCTTTTGCACGTCAATTACTCGGGGACACTTTCTTCGCCGGCATCCCTCGTATCTTAATGTCTGGGACCTTAGAGCCCCTTGTTGATGATGTTGCATTGCTAACTCCCTCTCTGGTCATCACGTCTTGGGAGAGTTGTACTCTGCCCGTGTCATCGATTGTTCCATAGGGTGCAGTCACCCCGGAACCTGGCGCATTCCTGTTTGCAACCAGTCGTCCTGCTGTCTCTATCAGCTTCCTCACCGTTTGCTCTACGACTGGATCACCTAAGGTGTCACTCGGATCCGGGACTGTCACTCGACCAGTTGTAGCCGGGAGTTGCGTTTCTGTCGTCTGACTCATTTCTCCAGGTGTCAAGAGTTCCATCGGGGACTGCCCACGAGGAATATCCCTTGTAGGTATCGCTTTTTCTACAGCTGTCGTTAACGACAGACGCTCCGGTCGCTGCTTGTATTCTCGCCTCAAGCGCTTTATTTCTTCACCCTGCTTCTTGTTGCAGTCTTCAAACAATTTCTTCCACATGTCCCTATCTTCTTCTATACTAAGCATGGTCTTGATAATCTCTCCAGCTCCCTTCTAGTCTTCTCTAGTTCTTCTGTCGTCCCATTGAGATCTTGCATAGTCTCGTTCGTTTGAACCTCCTCTTCTACTCTCGCCCTCTTTGGTGGCACAGCTGCTCTCAGTTGTGAACTAGACGAGGCAGCCTCGCTGTTCATCTCCTCATGCATCCTCGTCAGTCCAGGCTTAGGCTTGGTGGGCAAAGGCATCTCACCTGGCTGGTAGGTCCTCGAATTTTCCAATCCAGGCTCATTCGCCAAGTCACTCCCTGAGAGAGCCCCGATTCTCCACCTCATCCCTCTCATGTTCGGTCGGTCTAGTACTCCCCTTTCTCCATATGCTGCCATCAAAAAGACTTCCGTGGGGCGGTTCCCACGGTTATCATGCCCCAAGATGTTTATCAAGGCGGTCAGCAACATTTCTACCTCTGGGTCCTCCAGAGCGAAGTCTCGTTCCATTTGCCTCCGATAGATTGCCTCTACCATCGGTCCTACATATGCCTCTGCCAGGTCCATCAATTCGTCCAAGTTGAAATTATCCAATCTCATTCAGGTTTGATTCTGTTATTGATTCAATGATTTGAACTCAAGTGAGTAATTAAACGATCAATCAGGATCTAGAAAAGAGGTCACGAATATCACACTTGTCAGTTTTTCACTAATTTCTTGTTAAACTTTATTTAAAACAGTCATTTAAAAAGACTTTGATCCTAAAATTTTTTAAAATCAATCAGTTTCTAAAATTTTGGAATTCGACCTAAGATTGGACAGTCCAAATTTTGGATCTATTCGTAAGATTGTCATTCAGTTGTTCATGGTCACTAGTTCCTTCTTACCCAGGGTCTTAGTAACATAACACATAACATAACATAACACACATATCACATACAACACACTTTTTAGTATGAAGTCTTCCTGCATGCAACTTAAACTCAGCCTATACTTAAATAATAATTCTTAGGTAAGTATACTTGTATATTAGTCTCGGAGAAGATTACGTGTATCAGCGCATACAACTCACGTGGATGCAGTCGTCCTCGGTTCGGATCGTACACTAGAAGTGAAAACTCCATCACTTCCCTCTCCACAAGGAAGTCCCTCAATCTCGTCAAGGACAAGACTAGATTTTCTGGGTCCACGTGCCGTTTCTCCGTCGCCCTCGTCAGCAAGAAGCATAAGTACTTTCCTGGTATCTGTGACGCCGCTGGAGGCAAGGCTGCTACGCCCCCTAATCCTGGTCTTTGCTTCCAAAGGAATCCTATGTTTTTATATTCTCTCTTAAAATCTGCTGCTAGCGCTGTCTTGAAACTCATGTCTGCTGTGATTGCTATCGCACATGTTCTGTTTGTGAGTATGAAATCGCTATCTGTTAGTATTATTCTACTTGAAAATTCATTTGGTAAGTTAAAATATGACTTAACTACCCTCCCAATGTCCGGTTTCTTAGGGTCCTCGTTTGTTTCCGCTTCTAAATCTCCTGTCTCTCATGCTATTCTTAATTAATAATTTTTTTATTGTGGGTAAGTCCTACCCCCCTCCCCGAACAAAAATATCAATCGACGTCCCCGTCGATCGCATACCGGATATCAAGTCGAGATTGGAAGCCGGAATGAGTAGTCGCCCTTCCTGGGCAGCCCAGGAAGGATCCTCTCGTTCGGTTTTCATGTACTTCATGCTTTCACGATATACATCTTGAAACGTGACACTGATCTCCTTTGGGTCCGACGTCATTTCGTTCAGCCATTCCAAGACACGCAAATTCGTCAAGTCTTGTTCATATGACTGCTGTTGCTCGTCGTCGAATTCTACCTCGGGCTTGGACCGGTCATCGACCCACTCCTCGTCGTGATCATCGACTATGTCAATGTCCTGTGACACAGTTATTTCTTCTAGACCCACTACTTCTTCCACTATCTTCTTCAGATCTATCCTGTCCACTACGAAGTCGTCACCGTAAGGGTTATATTTCTTCCTGGAACTTGTCCTGTCGTTCTGTCGAGTCTGTATCGTAAACGGAAGATCTGCTATCGCACATATTGTATCACAATTTTGGACTAAGAACAATTCCAACGAGCCCAAAACGACTTCTGTAGCTTCAGTGTTCGTGGAGTAATCATCAGTTGAAACTTTGGGGGGAGCTGAAATTCGGCCATTTTGGAAAAAAATCGACCTAAAAGCTAACTTTTAAGTTAGTGCAATTTTTTTTCTTGCATTTTTCATAAAATGGGGTGCTCTCTGCTGTCGCAGAGTGCATTCTAGAAAAACTTATCAAATAGATTTGAATACTTACCTATTTAATAAGTTTATCACAACAATTGGGCTAAAAGCATCTATCAGTATCCTGGCTGGTATTCCACCATATGCCACTAACGTTGAGTGAGCGGCTATCATGCCATAGATGGTCATCTAAGACACCCTGTACACGCTCCGTAGGTTTTGAGCAGCCGATTTGGCCATAAAACTCATTGGGCCAAAAAAATTCTGAAAATTGTCAATTTTTCAAATTTTGTTTGAATTGCATAAATTATAACTTAAGCGTGCAAAATTTTACATGGTATAAGAGCATATTTCTACTCTCGCAAATTCTTGGGGACCTCCATTTTTTCGGGATCTTGCCAGTCCTCCTCTGAGTAGGGTAAGATTTCTTCATCTGCTTCGATCACTTCATTGGGATCTAGGTCCAGTGGTGGACTTGTTCTTTCCTCTACGAGCTCATTTCCATCGTTCTTTTTCCTGGTGCCCTTCTCGTAGACCTCACAAGCAGGGTCTAACATCAAATAATCCCCTTCTTCCATGTCTGCAGGTCTACACCAGTCTTCTGTCGATGGGTTGTGTAGCTTAATGTTCTCGTAATGAGCGGCTCGGCCAGTACTCAGTCTATAAAAGCGTCTCTCCTGGTGCACTTCCGTAATCATGAAAGGACCCCTCCACTTTTTAGGAGCTTTTTCGTTCCTTTCGGTGGTATAACGTTCTGGAATACCCATACGTAGTCCCCTACCGAGTAAGCTTTTGCACCAGCTGCTTTCTTGTCGAATCTTTTCCTCTGTCTTGCCTGTGCCTGCCGAGTATTTCGTCTACACAAGTCGTTCAACTCTCGCTGACGTCACATCCCTTACATAGACTTGTGGAGACGTTTGTTTACCCTCATACTCTGGGCAGAAGAAAGTCAGGGGCAAAGACTTCTCGTGTCCGGTTAGCATCATGTGTGGACTAACTCCCGTGGTGGAATTTGCGTGCTGTTATAAGCTTCCATCACCTGTGGAAGGTATCTGTCCCAATCGGTCATGTTTCCGGAACAATATACCCTCAGCATCGATACTAACGTTCGATTCTGCCTTTCCACTGAGCCATCCGTCTGGGGATGGTATGTCGCGGAGTGAGCTTGAGCAACCTGCGAGCGAGCGTCTCATAAGCTCTTTCGTGAGTTCCCCCACAAAAGTTTTTCCATTATCCGATTGAAATGTCATCGGACAACCATGTCTCGCTATCCACGTTTTGATCAGGTGATCGCACGTCTCTTCCGCTGAGCCAGTTATGCAGGGCACGGCTTCTGCATACGTCGTGAAATGATCTATCATGACCAAGACTTGATTATAACCACTGTCTGTCATGCATATCTTTTGGTTATCTATCTGCACCACCTTGTTGAATTCAGACGACTCAATCAACTGCAAAGGAAATTGCAATTTCCTTGTATCCTTGACCTGTTGGCATGACAGACATGCTGTTACCCATCTCTCGCATGCTTTTTTCGTTCCAGGCCACTCAAAGCGCTTCAGGATCCTCTGATAAACTTTGTGGATTCCCTCATGGCCCATCTGGTCATGCGACCATAATAAAAGTTCTGTTTGATAGAGTTGCGGCAACACTATCGCATTGTATTTGTACAGGACTTTGTCCTCTTCTCTTCTCTTGCAAGCCACAATCCCGTCCTTGTTCAGATATAACCTTCCTTCTTTCTGCATAAAGTACTGTCTCAGAATACGGTAACTGTTTTCCTCCAGTTCTCCTTTGTCCGGAGCACCATTTTCGATCCACTTTTCAGGTTGCTTGTCATGCGGTCAATTCTCTGCGCTCTTAGTAGGTCCTAGAGTCTGTATCTCGCCTTCAAGTGTATCTTCATGACCCTCATCTGACTATTCAGCTCATTGGGCTGATGCGTGTCTTCTTCCATCTTAACGCACCAAATCTTCGCCAACGTCTGTGTTTCTTGTTCGAACGGCTGAAGATCAGTCCTGACTACCTCTTTTTGTGGCAACAGACTTATCGAACGTTTCGATACCGCTATTGTTTCCAGATCATCCGCTGCGTTATCAAAGGCTCTTTCACCTGGTATGAGGTAGCGATCGCTGTCAGGGTCTTGATATAACTCCCTGTCCAGATCCCTTGCTCGAGTCTCCACTAGTAGTGTGTGGATTGCTAGCTCTGACAGTTCCGATCCTGAGCTCGAGTTCCTGTCTGAGTAGGTGTCGATTCTTTAGTTCTGGGAGTTGTCGTTTCATTGAAGAGTCTGCGATAGGGCACGTCTCCTCATTCGGATCAGTTCTGTGCCTTCTTCGCATCCACCCGAACTCCCCGGACAAAACATTATTCTCCAGGTCCTGTTTCTCATCAGGAATTTTTTCATCTACGTCAGATTCCCCGGACAAACTTCCTTGTCCCAGGTGTTGATCTTGAACTCGCCGACTCTTCTCACTGTTCTTCTCCCCGGACAAACAATCTTGCTCCAGGTTTCGTTCAACCTTCTCACCTTCTTTATCCTGGTCCTCAAAGATAACGTTTTTCTTTTGCGTATCGTTCCCCTGTTCTTTGCGTCTGTATGAAGTGCTTGTTAAAACCTCGTGGGGTATTGAGGATACTAGTTGCTGAACTATTGTGCTACAATCACTCTCGTTTTCTTTGTGTTGTCGTCTGGACGGCATGATCTTCACCTTCTCATTGACTGTCAGTGATGCCATTGCTGCTGCCCACTCGGGGTCGTCTCTGGTCACTTCTCTCTCTAACAATCTACCCAGTATCCGCATCACTTGCGGTGTGACCTGAACCGTTTTATCCAATAATGAGAGGCTGCTAATGTTCATGCGAGAGAGTTCCTGCTGGACCAGGTTCGAGCGCAGCAACAGGTCCAAGGGCACCGGGTCCTTCTTGGATAGAATCTTTATCTCGGCTGCTTTCTCTACAGAAAACTCAGGATGTCCTGGGATTGAATGTCCAGACTTATCCAACCATCTCGTCAAGGGAAGCGCTTCATAAGTTTCTTTATCCAGAAACGAGCATCCTTCCTTGATTTCTGCCCGATTGGCTTGCTTCTGTTCCAATCTTTCATAGAACTCGGTTTTCTTGCTGATGCTGTCAGCATTCTGCTGTTTGTTCCGCATCCTGTGCTCGTTTATCATGTGGTAGCCAACTAACCTCACTATCCATCTACCAATATAACTCTGATCCATCAAGTATGTCTTCAACCAGGATAACGCTCTGTTGTCCACGCGTAACTTAAGGGGAGCGCTCCCAAGGTATGCGCGGTACTTTTCCACAAATGCGACCACTGCAAACATTTCTGCTTTTGGTACTCATATTTCATCTCAGTGTCACTTAACACCTTACTGCCATATGCAATGGGACGGAGAACGGTTCTTCCATTCCATTCCTGCTCCTGATGCAGTTTTCCCGAGATGGCTACTACTGATGCTTCTGTGTCAAGAACATTACATGCCCTTTTCAGTAGGCATGCCTAGCACTGGCGCTTCGCACAGTTCTCGCTTTATGTTCTCGAAGGCAGTTTGAGCTTCATCGCTCCATTCGAACTTCTTTCCTTTGTTGCGCATCAGCTTCTGCATGGGATACACCTTGTCTGCATATCTTTTTATGAACTCACGGTAATAATTGGCAAACCCTAGGATGCTCATGAGCTGTGTGTCCGTTCTGGGAGCCTTCCATGTCAACACAGCCTCTACTGCTTCCGGGCCCGGCCTCACACCATGCCTGTCCACCATTCTTCCTAGATACTTGATCGAATCCCTCAGGATCTCGCATTTCGATGGTTTGCTTTTTAAGCCTGCTCTCTTCATGCAGTCAAAGACCTCATCGAGCCGATCAATGTGGTCTTCCAGGGTTGGTGTTGCTATGACCACGTCATCCACGTAACACATCACAAGATTCCCGTACTTCTTCGTCACTCCGGTCAAAGCCTGAGCCATCAGTCTTTGAAACGTGGCCGTTGCGTTGCACAAGCTGATGGGCATCCTCTTCCACTGGTACAACCCCAATTCACATGCGAATCCTGTCTTTTCTCTGTCCTTTTTCCGCAGAGGGACCTGCCAGAAGGCAGAACCCAAGTCCAGAGTGGTGAAGAACTTGGCGTCACCAAGTTTCGAGAGGCGTTCGTCTATTCGCGGTATCGGGTATGCGTTTTTTATTGTCACCTCGTTCAAATAGCGAAAGTCGCAACAAAACCTAAGCTGCCCCCTTTCTTTTTCGCCATTACCACCCCAAAAGCCCATGGCAATTTTGAGGGATCTATCATGTCGTATTCGAGCAACATTTCTATTTCGGCTCGGCACGCTTCCAATTTATGTGGCGTCATCCGTCTTGGGCCCTCCCTGAGGGGAACGGTGCCTTCCTCAAGATCAATTCTTTGTTAGACGAAGTTACAGCAACCGATATGCGCCTTATGCTTTGAAAATACATCCGCGTTCCGATTTCCAACCGCCCGCAATAATTCAAAATCTCCCTCACCTATTTAACCTTTTAAGTGTTCTATTTCTGGCAAAACCGGTTTGTCAGATTCTAGTTCATAGGACGAGGGGCGTTCCGGAAAATTCGAGCAGCTCGACAAAGCATCGTCCGTTTCGGACTTCACTGAAAACAGTTTATGAATAGATTTTAATTCATTAATCCTTTTTAAATTTTTATCTTTATTGGCATGATAAGGACAGTCTTTGACACTATATCTCTTCAAGTTTTCTGTCTCTTCATAGTCGGTCCTCATCGGCAAAGCGTAGCCAAGTTTGTTTCCACGCTGAATTGAAATCGTGGTGTCCAGTGTGTTCAATAACACACTGACACACAGTCCGTTTCGAGTTACCGAGAAGCTCCGGCCTGAAATCACTGAACTTTGACTATTTGGATTCGGTACCAAACAAACCTGTTTACTATCACTTAACGAATTTAAATTTCTCATTCTAAAAATTTCTACTACTGCTTGTCCTGGCTGTAGTTTTACCTTTCTGTCTCAAAAGATTGGTACCTTGTTTTCATCTGTTATTATACTATTAACTGGTTTCTTAACATACTTCCGGTCCGGGTTTCTAATC